TAGTAGGACGATTTGCCAACCAGATCGGCGTGTTCACCGGAAGTGGGTCGGTCTCCTACGCTGGGATCTTTATGTGCTATGGATGTTTGCTGTCTAGCACGAAATGTAGGAGCGAAGCTCGCCAGTGCTTCTATAATCTAGCCGGTGATCGAAAACGCAAGGCTCATATCGCCGACGTGTTAAACTTCCGTGTCGCCCTTTACCGAATGACTGGAGCTGCTTCATTGTACGCCCAGCCCTTCTATTTTAGCTAGGACAAGCGTAGATAAAGGCTAGTCCACGGATTACAGAAAAGATGAGTGATCTCGCCTGACCTTTCCACTTTGCTTTGGTTGTTTGCATGATAGCTTCTAGCCCGGGGAGCGCCCATACCGGCGTACGGTATTATTATGATATGTCATGCATTGCCTTCAATCAAAAAGATACAACCAAGTATCAATTTTGAGGAATTATCATGATTTGGGCCAAAATATTTCATAAGTCGTTGCATCTCAATTACCACCAACAGCAGTAAAAAATTAGCTTCGTCGCTTCTAAGACCAGTGAAATGCAAACCTCAGTATTCTTCGGGAGTTTTCCCCCTTTCGAAGCAATTCCTAATATACCTTCGTCTTACGCATGTTGATTCGACTGGGGCTATGCTAAGCACTAAAGTAAACCGGCTTCAGTAATCTTACTCTCATCACTATACCGGTTTCCTTTGTTTTCGCTACTAACGTTTTAGGTCAACAGCAACACTGCTCTGGTCTTTTTGTTTATTGGCCTGGTCATCGCCAACATCTTGATCAAGACCTTGTCCCTTCACCTCGTCTGAGTCATTTGGGGTGTTCAATGCACTGCCACTAAAGATTCCGACATTAGTCTTTACCCATAGACTCTCGGCATTAGTTGCCAGATAGCCCACTTACAACTTATAACCGCTGATAGGGTCAGGAATATCTTTGGTGTTGAACATGTTGGGAGGCTGGTAACTAAATTATTCAACAATTGACCTGTCTTATGGTAAGTGACAATACTAATCATTTTAACAAATATGTGAGCTCTTTGTAGGTCATGAGTCTACATAACACGGTGTCCTGGTGAAAAGACCACGGTGCTGCGTGGCATTGTGTGGGGGAAACCGTGGTCTTTCCGCACAGGCAAGAATAAAGGATATAGTGACAGAAATCAGATGTGTGGCGAAAGTACTGGTAATAACACGATGATCAAATTCTCTACTAAAAACAACAATGGTCCGAATTTTACAATCTGGTCGGACACAATTAGTAAGCAAATTGCATAGTTATTGTAAATGTCAAAAGTCTCTTAAGTAAAATAACGGCACCCCCTAACTTTTGAAGCTATTCACAGATTCTCGATAGCTCAAAGAGCTGCCACTATCTTTTTAGGGTATTATTAGATGCCTGATCTCTCTCATCCTAAGCAACTCCCTAAATCTCTGTTACTATCATCTCGATTCCTTATAAAAAGAATTACGTAGCCTTCGTGTTGTCAGCTTCCAAACTGCTTACTCTGAAGTTTAGGCTGGCCCTAGCCGAGCCAAGCGACGCCCGTAATGCATTCACCTTCATGTACCTGTGCCTGTGTCCGAGTTCTTTAACATTTTCGTTTTTATTTAGCGGCGAAGTTTAGCCGAAGAGCCCGGCTATAAGTCCCTTAGCTTGAATCACCGATTATATAGATTTTCGGCCGGCTGAATGACAGAGACCTTCCGGACTATCGCTAAGACTGGGTGGGAAAGAGACCATAGCCTATTATTAGCGTAATTAGGACGTGTCTTTAGGATAAATAGTTCACTGGCTAAATTGAAGTAAGACATCCAGAACATGAAACCATTTGAAACGCGCCCCATATCCTCCTGTGAATATATAATGAAGGCCTTCTCCTGAATAAATCCTCCGCCACAAACTACACAATTCAGTCCATCCGTCTTCCTAAATTGCTAACGGCTTCTGACTATTTATCATGGTCTCTTTCTCGACCCTCTTCATGGCTGCCTGTGCAGCTGTGGCCGCCTTTGCTCTTCCCAATGACCTAGAAAAACGAGCGATCACCACCACTCAACAAGGAACCAGCGGGGGCTACTTCTATTCTTTCTGGACCAATGGTGGTGGCAGTGTCTCCTACAATAATGGTGCTGCGGGTCAATACAGCGTTGAATGGACCAACTGCGATTCTTTCACCTCTGGCAAGGGCTGGGCTACTGGCAGCGCCCGGTAAGTCGAGAGCACCTCGCCATTTTTTAGTGAGATACTTATAGGCACGTGTTAGAAACATCAACTTTTCCGGCTCTTTCAATCCCTCCGGAAACGCTTACCTCGCTATCTACGGGTGGACCACTAGCCCCCTTGTCGAGTATTACATTATGGAAAATTATGGAGAATACAACCCCGGCAGCAGCATGACCTTCAAGGGTACTGTGACCACCGATGGATCCGTCTACGACATCTATACCCATAAGCAGGTAAACCAGCCTTCCATCGAGTCTGATAGTTCCACCTTCGACCAGTATTGGTCTATCCGCCGGAACAAGCGCAGCAGCGGAACCGTCACCACTGCCAACCACTTCAACGCTTGGGCTAAGCTCGGAATGCGTCTTGGCTCGCACAACTACCAGATTGTCAGCACCGAGGGATACCAGAGCAGTGGATCCACAAGCATCACCGTTTCCTAAGCAAGCGAAAGCCCTGCAGTGGCTCCATGCGACGCGTTCACTTAGTGTGGCTAAGTCTGTTGAAAGCGACATTATGAACCTGAGAAATCTCTAGGAAGGAAAGGGGCTGTAACGATAATTTGGCCATGACCCGGTTCATCCGGATCTTAGCTGGCTAGGCTTCTCTTTGATAGCTTTTCCGGGAGTCAGATGTTTTTAAGCCTAATTTTCCAAATTTCTCGGAAAATCTTAGTCCTAACGCTTTTCTTTCCTTCGTATATTTTGGCATACTATTCCTTGATCAAACTTTTATGTAGAGTTGCCGCGACAATAAAATTCGTTATTAGACTTAAAAGGGGATGGAAAGCAGAATCATTTGATGGCTGCGACTCCAAGAGTTAGAAGACGAGGAGGCGAAGTCGCTATGCGTGACGATCAATACGTGCGGTCATATAGAAGGGTGCACTGTGAAGGATGTTGGGTGGACGAAGTTTGCTCCTGTGGCACTAGGCAAGGGGGCATTTTATATACTGTAAGATTGGATGGAGCTTAAATACTTCGGTACTTTTTCAGATTTTCCCTATCCGCAATATAAAGTTCATATAGCCCTGTCAAAACTTGAAGCTTCTCAAGGGACCCTCAAAGGAGAACTAGGATTTCAAGGATACGTGATGAGTGATTAGGCCTGTCTTCACCCCGGAGTGGCCTCCGCCTTAACAGGAATGGACACGGGTCAGCCGGGCTTCACTGAGCCCATGAAACCCATTCGTAATCAGAGGGTCTCAGGGTTTATGCCTCGATGCGATAGCTATCTTTTTATAGGATGAATTCTAGATGATAGCAACAACTTCTAGCATTAGAAGGGCCCTCGTGTCTAACGGTTGGTTGAGAAAGACTGCCCATCTGAAAGTAAAAGAGTAGAGCGCCGAATAACGACAAATATATCTTCACAACCTCTCCGAATTTGAGTTATATCACTTTGTTTGTGTTGATGAACCTGGATGTGATAAGCGGATTGGGTTCTGGCGGACGGGCTGGTCACCACTCGGTGTAGCACCAAAACTAGTGGCATAGCTCCACCGTGACGAGAGGTACCAAATTCTGCCTACGTACTTTTAAGATAGTATCGTACTCGCTCTCGTCTTTCGTCGCTTAACGGATGCTCCCGTGTTTGAGGACTTTATCGATAAGCTGCTTCGCCACCATTGTGGAAGATAGCCAGAGTCAAAGTCTGTCTTGGTCATGGAGCGCGCCAGAAACTACGTAATCATTTCGAGCTTTTGTCTAGTATGTGTCCACTTTATATGCTGTGGCTAGACGTTTCTCCCAAACAGGATTGCCCATCAGCTGTTTTCCATGGAGGAAGCTTCCAGGTCCATGTTTGCCTTTTCTGCGTCCACGTTATTCGGATCGATGACGTATTTTGCCAGGATCCTATGGCTATTCTTCTACATCTATTTCTTCACCTCTGCATTTTCGACGTCCTTGTCTACTCCAAGGATGATATACTATTGATTGTCGCTGATAGTTGCACCTTTGTCCAATCGAAAGTTTTCCTTATCATAAGTTTGGGACGGATACATCCACTATCCTTTGGTCATGTTCTCAGCTTTCTTAAATATCTTAGTTCATGGAATGCCGTCAGTAAATGCACGAACGTTCTTAATGGATATAGGCATCTATTGGTAATAGACTTCATTTCGATCTAGTGTGACTCCGCTTCGCCTTAAATTGTGACTGAACACTGAAAATAAAAGAGTTCCAAGGATCTTTGCTGTCCTAGATGTCTCCCGACGCAAAGACATTCACAATTCTTAATATCTTCAAGTACAAGGCGCTTAGAATGGACTGCGGTACACATAGAATGATTCTATCATCGATGTCGTTGCAGCCCGGGCGCTTAGGAGAATGTGGTCACATTTTGAGCCTCTGAATACATCTCATTTGCCGCTCATGGGCTAGGTGCTACTGGACTTCCAGAAGCTAGCGTCACTGTCTACACTTACTGGAACCCAAATGCCCAAGGTTCACTAGACTATATCAAGAATAGCCCCAGAATATCAACATTCCTATATCCTCAGCTAGATAAATTTACCTAATTTATTACACCGCTCATATCTTGTATTTAGACTGAAATAGAAAAAGAGATGCAAGATATAAGACGTAAAAGATGCCCTTCAAAAAATATGCGGTTATCTAGAAAGGGCCCGTAACGGCGGCCACATGTCGAGAGGTATCAAAAGTGAACAATAGCACTCGTCCCGAAGAACAACCGAGAGATACAATCGATGGTGACACAGCAGAAGTACGTGGCCGGTACTCCGGTACAATTCCTGGGGTTCATAGACTAGTAAAGGCCGGGGACAATGCGGCTGCGAACGATCGACGTATAGCGCTTCCAGTCGGCGCCATATTTCCTTTTGCACTTTTCTTCGTCACGCGCCTCCCGGTGGATGAGCAGAATACCAAAATAAAGCATGAAGAAGTAGGTGAAAACGATTCCCCAGCCGCGGACTTTAGGGGTCTGTACGGCCTGCTTCTGTATGTCGCCAGCGCCGTTAATACTTTCAATCATGATATAGCCGGAAACCCCGGTAGGCAATGAATACGACCACGACATCAGCCAGTCGCCTAAGTAGTTGATGTGGCGCGCTAATCCCCACCAGCCGGAAATCATCAGCTTGGAGCCACTTGATGTCTGGATGTGTTTGATATGCTTCAAACGGGTGTCGTTGGGGTCCGTACGGAAACGGTTCTTTTGATTGTTGGCTCCGCGGAAGATCGAGTACCCCACACCGGTAACGGTCAGAAGTAACAGAATATCTCTCAAGCACAATTCTAGTGGGAAAACCGCAAGATATCTGGTTTGCAGATTGTAGATGAAAGGTACCCATACCAGGTGTCCAAAAGAGAGCATATAACCGAATCCATCCATAATCACATCAATCGTAGTTAGAACTGCTCGTTCCATGTACAGCGCATCCAGCACATAGAAGGTTTGGGATGCGGTCGAGAGTGCGATAGAGTTTGAAATGTAGCCATACGTTCTGTATTGGCGGGCCATGTTGGACAAGTTCAATATGATCCATCCAAGTAGTCCTGGCCTCATCTCACACCATACATTAATATCGATTGTTCGTGAGGCCTCGTCGACAAAAGGAACAGGCAGTTGTATCCGCGGATTCAGCTCCCGGCCTATGAAGAAGTCATACAGAGCATTTCCGGTGTGGCCACCCGGTGCCAACTCTCTTAGTTCAGGATTGAGTTGACCAGGCTCCGGGATCGAGAAACTTTTTGCATAAACGAAGGTGGCGAGGGCCATACAGATTATCAAGTTGGCCGTGATAATCTGCAAGTAGTTGTCCCAGATAAAAACCCATATAATGAAATCAGCACCGTACACGTATGTGCCCAGAGCTAAACCAGAAAGGATACAAATGGCAGAAGAAAACGCTGGAACCCGATTAGAAAGATACCATAAAAAGAGCATCCAGGGGTCCATACCGTTAAACTTATACCGAAGCCTCCCTTTGCAGGCTAATTCCGTGCCCTCAACCACCTCGCCAGGTAGAAACACGTACAAAATCAGACTGAGAAAGTAGTAACTCAGCACCCACAAGGTCACTCGCACGTCAAAAAAAGCTTTGAGACCGTCTTGAGGCCAACCAGCTTCGTCCTTTAACTTATCGATGGAAAATGTCGATGGATCGAGCAGCGACGGGGCAGGGCAGCCAGACACATCATTACAGAGGAAAGTGAAGACGTAGATAATAGTTGAGAGACCGAAGATAAATGCAACTGCGCCGAAACTGTTGAACGTCAATCTTAGGGATCAAGCACGTGACAATTGGGACCATATACGACCTTTTAAACTCATGGCCCCGTTTCCACGGAATCGATTGAACCGGGACCGTAGCTTTGGAAGCCTTTCTAAATTCCATGCTGTCTTTGAAATGAGGTGGAATATCTCTAGAGGAGAACAAATATAGGGTGGGGTAACGCAGGTGCGACAAGAGCTGTCGCAAGGCCACACGTATGCCAGAGTATCCACCGAGGCAAGGGGAAAAAAAGAGTGGTATGGATGTCTCAATAGCTTTGGAACCGTGGGCTTATATAAATGTTATATGCTACAGCACGGGCGCAAAGGAAAGTTTCGAAGAGGCAAGCAGGTCGTCCGAGCCGGAAAGGTTGGTTGCCGGTGGGACTGCGGGTACCTTTGATTCTCCACAATAGCCATATGGCTGGAGCAGACGGAGCAGCCATGTAGGTCTGAGGGGATGATGTAGAATGATCCGACGGCAGATTCTGTAATCCAGTAAATAGACCAAGTAGATGGACGGTCAACGAAAAGCATGTTAAGAGCTAAGGGCTATAATATACCCACCTGGCTAGTTTGACCATAGAGAGCAACGGAGTGGTCTTCTATCACCTTAGGCGCTCCATTCTTAGTTGCTTTATCATCTAGGCGGAGACAATTCTACTTAAGGATTCGAGGCTCTTCCGGATCTTTATAGGCTAGCTGCGTAGTGGGGGATAGAATAGAAACAGTGTTAACGTCTACACGCTTATCTACTAGGACAGGAAAGCTTTAATCGATCAATATCTCCTAAATTTTTAGTGTAGCTATAATCTTAGTATCGGCATCAGAGCCCAGCTACTCTACCTTATTATAGCCACAATCCTTATCAATATAAATTACTCTAGGGTTAGAAGCCGAGCCTAAAGGAGTAGAATCATCTCCAATCACTATAGGATTAGCCTTAGTGCCTAACTCGGGAGAATCGATAAGTTCGCGTATAGCTAGTGTAGGCTAGTCCGAACTCTTATCGGGGATTAATACTTCGCAATATTAAGTTAGCAAAATCTATAATGCTCCTAGAATATCCCTTACCGAAGACCTCGCGCGTATTGTGTATAAAAGAGCTTATACTAACTAGAGTGGGAAGAAGAGGCGGAAATATATGTTTAATGATTAATATAGGGTAAGACTAACGGCTATAATCAAGATCAAAGACCTAAACCAATTCTTGACTATTACTATCGAAATAGTGTGCGAGATATATAGCTTTATATCTCTTGTCTGGCCGATTACGCCTTGTTTAGCCTATAGGTTGAAGCGGACACCTTCGTCGTTCAGACGCCAAGACCCAGCAGGATCGCTTCTAGGCGAGGCCTATCTGCCAATCAGCTCTATATCCAATATACATTGTATAGGAATACCGTACGAATGACCAGATTCTCGTCTATTTGATCTAATAACATCATCAAGCGCTGTTGCTATTTACGGAGGACTACACTCCTACGCATCGACCGCGCCTAGTAACATCGCCACCGTTTCGATTGAGCTCTGTTTGCTAGTCGTTCCGTGGCCTAGGATAGAGGACGGACGAACACGGAGACCAAAAACCCCCTTATTATCCCTAGTCCGCACGAGGTAGATGCTATAGGAGTAAATCCTATTTTCTTATCGGTCCACTTCGCCCTCTATACTAATCAATCATAAAGCAAACGAGGATTTCGGTCATAGAGCGCCTTCGGTGATAGGGGTCGGGACTACGTAGATCTCGGGAACGAGGACGACCGCGACCCCGAGATGATACTATAATAATGCTGCTATTCCTAGAGAACTGCAAGTACGAGAACTGTAAGTACGCGTATCGTCTGCGCCTAATATTATCACCACTAGATTGATTGAGCTCTGCTCGCCAGTCGTTCGATAACTCGAGACAAAAGACGAAACGCGGAAGAGCGGACCAACATAGAGACACACGCTACCTCTATCTCTAGTCCGTATGACCTATTCCTTATCCTTCTATCTCGTCCTCTATGCCAATCGATCGTGAAGTCAACGAGTTCGGTCACAATACGTCCAGTCAATTGAGCTCTACTTGCCAGTTATTCCGTAGCCAATGGCTGTGGGTAAGACGCTTATAACGTACTGACCGAGGGATCAAAGCTGCCTGATCGCCTCTAGTCTATATGTAGACTGTGTTGAAGGATTCGCCCCTATTGTCTTACCCGTCTATCTCAGCGTGTCCGCCAATGGATAACCACGTCAAAGGGGTCGTCAAGGACAAGGCGTACTTAGCGAGTTGAGTTCCACTAAGCGATTTCTGAAAATGGAATGATGGTACGAAGGATCGAGGGGAACGGAGGCGTCCAAACGGTCTAGGAGGTCGGCGAGCGATTTCAGAGATCATTGATGCGCCTCAACATGGCCGCTGTGGAAACTTCACATCATGAAGAGCAGGGAAAGGAGGGGTTGATCATGTTATCCAGCTTTCGCAGACGCTTGTATCGTTGGCTTGCGCGAATTGTAGGGAGGAGCGTCCGGTCGAATATGCAATTGATGCGTTTTAACCAACATTCCCCTCGGTCCGAAATTGATTGGACACCATCAGCCACAAGGCTCTCACTCTCGTACTGGGCCCCAAGGCAGATCCACGGACCCGCTTCACACAGGCGATTGTCCACAGAGGGTCTAGGGCGACTGAAACCAAAGGGCGCAATGGATCGAAGATGGACCGGCCGGCTGATGTGTCCGTGAGGCAGAGACGTGTTTCGGCGTGGCGGGCCAAAGACAAAAATGCCTCATGTCGAGCATGTTCGGCGATCCTGTGTAGAAAAGGGCATAGGAGAGGCAAAGCTGCGCACAGTGCGCTCGAGAGGTCGAACGAGGGCAAAGGACTGGTCAGTTCGCGCCGGTGACCGAGGGGCGGTGGGGCTCGGCGAGCTAGATCAATGGCAAAAATACCTCACTGGCAGGACGCACACAGGACGCAGATGGCAAGAAAGGGGCCGTAACGGGCGAAACGTTCGGTGAGCAACAGTCGGGGCGATGAAGGCGACTTTATCGAGACACGCACGGCGATGTCAGTCACGTGGAAGGGAGCTAGACCCAAAGAGGCACGCTAAACTGAAACTGGTAATTCGCCGTCACCGAAGAGTACGGAGTACAACATACAGATATTGTCATCTGTCTTTTTTAGCCCTAGTTATTAAATGGGTCTTTGTTAACAATCTCGTGGCGTAGCTGAGACTGGGGATGCTAGCTGCCCCTTCAGCCGCCTTCTTAGGCTTTTAACCTTCTTATAGCCTTTTTTTAGTTGGCTTTTTAGTTCGATGCTTTCTCCGCTAGCCTTGCCACCTGCAGAATCCCCTGGTTTTCCGCGGCCTATGACTGGCTTCGATTAGAAAATTCTCCGAGATCATCCTTTCTTAGGTCTTGCGATCGGCGCGGAGGCTCTAGCTTTTGCATGTGGGTTAAGTAACAAAGTAGAGTGTATTATCCCGCGTTCCAGCGTGGCACTTCTTTTCTACTTTTAGAAAAAGTAAAAGTGATAGGAAAATAGGCAAACTGTGGGAAAAACGAAAGTCGAGGTTGGCACGTTCCTGTATTTTCGCCCTGTTCCTAGGAAGATCCTGTGGCCAGTTCTGAACAAGAATACCCTAAGCAAATCGAAAGACATATCATAAAACGGGAAAGAATCAGATCCAAGTTACATATGTACTCATTACAAGAATTGACTAGAAGCCATTGATCACGAGATTTGTCGGATATCATTAAGTAGTGGAACCAGAAATTAACCCCAACAGAGAACCAGCCCGAAGAGCTTTTTGGTAGAACACCATCGCTGAAATGCTGCAAAAGAAAAATGAAACAGAAGGATTGCCACCCAAAAGATGTACAGAGAATACACGTGACAGAATATTGTCACAAAATCCCAAAAGAGAAGACGAAGGGGTATCTAACGGGTTCGCAAGCGTGGTGAGGTATAAAGGCAAAAGGAAAGGGACCAAGAGAGCAGTCAAGCTTGCTGTCAAACGGTCATGAATCGTCGATTCAGGTGGACAACCTTTGCTTCGAGCCAGAATTGCGGGAGGAATTGACACGCGAGCTAGAGCTAGAACTAGATTTAGCCCTTGGGATATCACCAGCAAGCGAGTTTTGGTGAATCTCCTCCGGAAGCAGAAGATCCGGTAGGTGGTCTGGATTCGATGCCAGACTGCGCGGACGCGAAAGAACACCACCAAGAGAAGGATTATCCTTTTCGCGATGCATGGTGTCGACTGGAGCACGACTTCGGCGGCGACGTCGGCGGAGATACTCGTTCGGAACAGGATCAACTTGCTTTTTCACCGCTGGTACGAGGTTAAGGTATATAGGGAAGATGGCACCGGCGGAGAAGAGCGCGACTATAACGGAGAAAGAATATGACCCGCCATGTGCAAGGTATGCCGCGTACTCGGCAAACGGGAAAAAGGTGCCGCCGCTGATTGCCATTGTCAGGAAGACGGCGGCTGTCTTTGTATGCTGCGCTGTGCCGCGGAGGGAGATGGCGAAGATAATGCTGAATGCGCCGCTCTCGAAAAGGAAGAGCAGCATTGCCACGACGATTGCTGCGGAGCCGCTTGTTTTCATGCAAAGAATGGAGCAGACGATCATGCCGATGTAGCTGACCATCAGAATCCAGCGTGGTTTGAGGAACCATTGCGCAAATGCGGCCAAGAAGCGACCCACGGCAAAAACGCTGTGTCCGATAGTTAGGAAATCGAACGGTCCGAGTGATGAATCTGGACGAGCGTCAACAACGAAACGTCGGAGAGATGTGGCGAAGACTTCTTGTCCAGCCACGTAGAAGAATTGAGACCAGATCCCCAGGCCAAGAGTCAGCCAAACGACCGGAATACCGACTACTCTGGTCATGTTGTCTTCTCGCCGTCGATTTGCTAGTTCTTCCAAATCTTCATCTGACGCTTCGGGGATTGGTAGGTAATAGAACGCGACTGCCAACAGCACATCGAATAGAGCAATGCCAAGATATGCCCATTGTACGTCAACCAAAGATGCCACATCCTGAACATCCTTGAAGAGAACCCGTTTCGCCAGGAGCGGCGATAAGACACTCCCAACAGCTTGCACACCTTGTGAAATATTGAGTCTGATCTCCGAATTCTCGAGTGGTCCGCATAGCGCAATGAACGGATTTGCCGCAGTTTCCAAAACTGCTAGACCAAACCCGACAATGAAATTTGACAAAATGAACGCAGGCGTCGACGTTAGAACAGCAGAAGGCCAAAATATGAGGGTCCCACAGGCATAGATGCAAAGTCCAGTTATGAACGTGGACTTGAAGCCCCATATTTTCAAGACAGGTCGGCCAACCAGAAGAGGGCCGACCAAGTATCCGCCGAAGTACGCGCCATGGAGACCCAAGGAATGCCATGGACCTAAGTGGACGATAGTTTTGAATTGAGAATTCAGAATATCAAGCAAGCCGTATGCGAAACCCCAAAGGAAGAACAGTAGCGTGGTCAATGCAATTGGCGCAATCGACTCTCTGTTGTTTAGCTTTAGCATACTTTCCGGATTTTTCATGTTAACAAAGTCGAAGAACGTGATATCCGGTGCATAAGATGCACTAGTATGGGTTCCTCCCTCTGTATCGACGGCTGTTTCTGGGTGACCTAGGAAATCCAATATACCCATAGGCTCCGAGTCCCGGGAGCTAGGTCGACCAGCAGAGACACCACCAACTTGGTTCGGTAGAACTTTATCTCCTTCGTTGCTCGATGGCAATGGAAATGGCGAGGAAGATTCTGGCGAGTCCAAGACTGCAGCCGGAGGTGGTACTGCAACCTGACTTTCCCCTGCTACGCCTGCAGAGAGTCCATGAGGCGAAGAAGTTGATGTATTATCATTCGTGTCCCTAATCAATTTCGGAACAAGACGAGTGACGAGAGGCTTGAGACTTGGAACACAACCGCAGATTATCGAGAGGTTGACTTCGACGACAGACCACATGAAAGATAGCGACGCGTACCCTGCGAAATTCCCGCTGTTAGCTCAATTGACACGTTAATTTCAAACATGGGAGATGAGTCGTACAACTAAAATCTACCCCTCCGATGTTTTGAATATGAATTGACTTGACTTCCAGCGAACGAGAAATGGCAGCCTTTTGAAGAAAGGCAATTCGAACCACATCGACCACGGCCACGAAGAAACCAAAGGAGAAAGTGATCACCAAAATGATCTTTTGCTTGAAAGGCAGGCGCATTGTTGTCAAAAGCGGCATCGGAAGCAATAGGATAGCAATATCCGTAATAATATTCACCGGGGACGACGAGAGGTATAGGGTGACAATGTCGGTGCAATTCGCATGGGCCGGGATGGGGGAAAGGAATACTGCGCCGATAGGACGGCATTGGAAAACATTGACCAAGGTTAATGCGAAGCCCGCTGCGTTCACCACAAACAGAGTGACATAGTTTGCCCATCGGAAAACCTTCTGATTGCGCGTCATGGTCAGGTAGAAGACAAGTATCGAGGTCTTGACGGCCATTAACGCTGGATTCTAATTGGTTGTCAGCAAGCCATTGTTTTTATTGTCTCGTGGAGGAACAAAGGGGACAAAGGGCAGTTGTAACTCACATAAAGGACCGTGAATGCATAATTGGCCTTATTAAAAGCGAGTTCATCTTCAGGCTTGATCTCGTTCGAATGTAGGCCAAGACCATTCTGAACAGCATAGAATAGCGAGAATGAAAAGCCGAAATCGATTATCTACAGACTGGTTAGCCTCCGAGCTCTAGCACGAGGTTCCAGTAATGTGCCCGGTTCGCCAATAGATCGCGTCCGCTCTCGTTACATCCCCGGGTACATGCAGGGATCAAGCCGAGGGATCCTACCCATGCGATCAACATCAACCAGTCGTGTAACCCAATCTTTCTGACCACAAATATCCGCGAAATGAAGCGCAGGGCGACGAAGATAGAGGCGATGCAGAAAAAGGTGATCGAAACACCCAGCGTAGGTGGTTGACGACCCTCCATGACGAATTTGCGATGGCGGACTGTCCCAGCGGACAGTCCGGTTCTAACTATCTCAAATGTAGCGCAGAATAGTGCAGGCGACCGTAGGTCTTCGGGTTCTAGTGTAAAATCGCGATCGTAGGCGGGCTGAATTGGCGCGTGTGCGGAGGCGTCATCGTCTCGTTTCCCGACGGAGTCCGAATCCGGGGTATAGAGGACCGGGAGCGAAAGGGGAGGCAGAATAACAGGGATTAGAATATTTTGTTGGAGAAGTTGAGGTAGAAGAGAAAAAGGGCGCAGAAAAAGAAAGTTGAAGGTGTCAGAAGTAATGTGGGGAGAGAAAATTAGGACCCTTCTACCCCGGCTTTGGCCCGCCAATCACCTTGAACTTTGTCTTCTCTGCTTCGCCCCTTCAAAGACTACATCCAAGGGGTCTAGGCATATGCTACACAAACACAATATAGAGCTACACAAATACTATTCCTGTCCAGGGATTGTCCCTACATAATGAAGTTCCCCACATATGGCTGGCTCACCCAATGGACGTCCTGGCGCAACGAAAGCGAGCTTACCCACAGCCCATGACAGTTCGAGCTTCCCGTGAGATGTGACACAACACTGTGATTCTTGTCGCGTGCAGGATACCTGTGCAAGCAATCTGTCAGGGGCTGTGTTTGTCCGGCAGTTCCATCGGTCATGGTCCCTGCCTGCACAGAGCCCTTCCATCTTCCCGAGTCCTGAAGTTTCACCCATTGGAATACACGGGGCGATTACTATACTGAATCTGCTTGAGTGCTGCGAGGCTGCACTGAGGGATCTAGCAGAAGTCCTCCTTCATGAGACGGGCTGTTCTGCGATATTTGCGATCGACAGCGATCTACTCGCCAATTTTTAGTGTGATGTGTCAGGCCAAAAGCTGCAGCTCCCTTGCACCGCACACCAAAGCACCATATGTGAGCGTGATATTATCTTCTACCCCAGATTGATATTTGGCAATTCTCCCTTCTGAACAACCAATCGGTCTCCTATGCCCATATGACAGTTTTCCAGCGCAAATCCTCCAAGTACTGAGCTTGGCATGTACAACGATCGGTAGGGTGGACCGAGACATCAGATCATGATCTTTATCGCTGGATGAGCTTGATGCTACTTTTAGGTAAGCTTCTGATTGTTCACCTATATTGCGATGACTCTTTATCTTAAGGTCGCAAGTTCCCGAGTATATGCGAACTTGCCAAGAGGACCTCAACGGTTATGATCGTCAGCCCCTGAGATCAGCGGCTTCGCAACGTTACAAGGAACTACTTGCTAGCTCCTTGGCTGCCTTCCAATTATCATTTCAGTATGTAATCGCGAGAACCCCTCTCGGTATATCGGCAGCTATTAATCTCCGCTGCTATGATTTTTATTGTAGATCTCTCTCCGCTCGCATATGCTCTGTGCATAATATGAATAATGTACCGACTACAACGTGGATTTCCCGAGCGGAATACTGAATACTACTCGACTGCTTATCACATGGTAAAAAGTTGTCCCAAGGTTATGTCGGAACCGAACAAGATCTTCACTATGTGGGTATGCAGGTGCATTTCTTTAGTTCAATTCTCCTAAGCGAGCTGTAGAATCATCTTCTATTTGTTGAAGTCCGAAAGGCTCTAGCCAGTTTCTCTTGGCCCGTGATATTTAAGATGCCGATTGCCCAGGAGTTTGCAACAACGCTGGGAAGGTACAGAGTGTGCTGACTACTTCCAAGGTTGCAAGTGTTGTCTTTGTCAAACCAGCCGCTTGGTCCAGTCAATCCTCGTCAAGATGAGACTCAACACGTTGCTGCTGGCGTTCGGGCTTTCGACATCTCTCTGGGGAGTACAAGCCGAGACACAAGTTGAGAAGTCCATCGCTTCTATCTGGGACGACTTCAAGAATGCAGTGGACTGCGGTGCTTGCCAGGTATGCTTGGCACTTCCATGGCTTATAAAGTCTTTAGCTGACTCTATGCAATTCTACAGGTTCTCCTTGGTAGCATCAAAGTTACCGCAGGACTTGGTGAGAAATTCATGATCGATGTGTTCACCGGGTTGTGCAAAATCAGTGGGGTATGTTGGCGATTCTCGCGAGCTCACTGGCTCAATCCCATTAATCCCAAGTATGCAGGTCGAAGACCCAGATGTCTGCACCGGAATCATCGCGAAAGAAGGTCCTGCGCTGCATGATGCTTTCAAAGCTTTACGCCTTAACTCGGACGCTTCCAAGACAATGTGCGCTAGTTTGATCGGGCTCTGCAAATACCCTGAAGTTCATCCTTACAGTCTGACGTTCCCTTCACCCAAGCCAAAGACTGCGAGGCCGCCACCTAGCGGCAAGACGCCACTCAAGGTCGTCCATTTCAGCGATACCCATGTGGACCTCCTCTATGAGCCTGGATCCAACTACAAGTGTTCCAAGCCCATCTGTTGCAGATCTTGGTCAGATAAAGACGCACCGGGGAATACAGAACACCCATGTGGACCATTTGGAAACACGAAGTGTGACCCGCCACAAATTCTTCAAGAGAGTCTGCATGCTGCTATCGTAGACATTAACCCAGAGTTCTCCGTTTACACCGGCGATGTGGTGGCCCACGATATCTGGTTGGTTGACAAGGCCGAAGCTCTGAAAGGGCTAAATGCCACGTACAGTGCAATGGAAAAAGATATCGGCACTGTGTATGCTGCCATAGGAAACCATGACACCGCACCACTCAACCTCTTTCCTGCGGATTCTTCGAATGAAGCCGATCCTCAATGGGCCTACGACGCACTTGCGGAAGACTGGTATGCACTCACGGGCATTACTTCCGTCAAGTCTGCGGATCAATTTGCCTCGTACTCCGCCGTCCACCCCAACAGCAATCTGCGCATCATTTCTTACAACAGTGTCTTCTACTACATATACAATTTCTATATGTACCAAGAGCCAATGGAGAAAGACCCGCGTGGACAATTTGAATGGCTCATCAAGGAACTGCAGGCCGCCGAGGACGCAGGCCAACGCGCATGGCTAATCTCTCACATCCCATCCGGTGTACCTGATCACTTCCGCGACCATTCGGAGTACTTCGACCAGATTGTGCAGCGCTACGACGCCACCATTGCGGGATTGTTCTATGGTCATACGCACCGGGATGGGTTCCAGATCGCATACTCCGACTACAACAACCGAGACTGGAACACAGCTACTGCAATGGGTTATGTCGCTCCAGCGGTGACGCCAACAGAAGGCTCACCATCTTTCCGCGTCTATGAGATTGATCCAGTCACATTCGGTGTCCTGGATTACACTCAGTATATCGCCAACATCAGCGACCCATCCTTCCAGACAAAGCCAGAATGGCTGCCCTATTACTCCGCCAAAGCAGACTACGGATCCAAGATCTCTCCTCCGCTCACCGATCCCAAAGCTGAGATTGGTCCGGCTTTCTGGCACAACGTCACCGTCGCCATGGAGCGCGATCCGACCGTCTTCCAAGGTTACTGGGCAAGACGTTCTCGTGGATTCGAAGTCGAGAGTTGCAATGACGACTGCATGAAGAATGAGATCTGCCTTCTTCGTGCCGCTAATGCACAGTATAACTGTGATAAGCCCAAGGTTGGCCTCGACTTTTCTAAACGTGACGGGCAGGAGGGTGATATCTTGCTGGAAAGGGAGACTCATATTGACTGCGACCATGCTGGAATGGCGACACTGGTCTCAAAGATGGCACATCGGGCTAGACTTGAGCGGAGAAAGGAGCTTGAGGCTTGAAAGATGATGGCTGATCACTTGGTAGTTGATACGTCTAATTCTCTACAGTAATAACTACCAAAGCTAATTTTGATAATTTCTTCCATGCAAATAGCTTTTCTTTTCTTTTTTCCCCGGTGCTTTCATCATAGCTTAAGGAACCTGAAGCAAGCGCTAATATACGCTTTGCAGGCTTTTGCGGGGGCAGAGCGGCGGTTATAGAAGGAATAGAAGGATGCAAGAGGCAATAACAGTTGCCATGAAGTATAATACTGATACAAGTACGGTTGCCGCAACCAGAAATCAAGCAGTAAAGGCTGAATCGGGATGTACGGGAAGAAGTCCCTGACGATCTAGCGTCGCAACAAGATCCCCATCCATCATGAACTCGCCAAGCTCCATACCAAACGGCGAGAGACTGAAGTCATCCCCCGTGAGGCCTGCTCGACTACCATGGAGAGCGGGAAGGGTTGTAGTCGAGGAATCGAGGCCCGTTTCTAATAACAGTAATATTAGCATAATCCCAGTAACATAAAGAAGACGGAAAAGAGACTGACCAGGACTATCCAAGACCTTGCTGAACTGTTCCAAGTAATACCGACATCGATCGACCAACCGGTTTCCTTCGTCGAGCCTGGAAAGTGCTGCTACTGCACGACCGGGATATTGTCTGGCTTTGCTTGCTTGGTCTGTCATCGGGGAGCTTGTGAGGCTTGCATCACGGTAGACCCAAACCACTCCGATGAGGACCAGTGCTGCGTTAAAAGCTGAAAACTGTCAGCGTGCGAATCCCCAGAGCGAGGAATTTGGAGCATACTATAGTATAAAGAGAACCACCAAGCTCCCAAGAGGCTGTGCTTCCATCCAGGTTCCGATACCATGCGGTGTACAATATCAATGATCCCCATAGCGGAATCCGCGCATATCTGCAAGCTGTTCATACCAATCTGTTGCAACAATCTCATATCCTGGGGATCGCGATCAGGGGATCTGCTTGCGGTGATAAATTTGACCAACACCGGGCGGTGGAGCAAGACTCGAAGATTACGATATCTCAGGGTTAGGATGACTTGAAACTTTAACGAGAGGTATTGGGAATTAGACGACATCTGATCACGAGGCAGATTCTCAATGCTAGCCGACGATATGAGTTGTAATGGATGGGCAAGCGCCCGTTCCCAGGAGAACAAGCGTTGTTCCAAGCTGAAGATGTGCGCCACGGTCTCGCTAACTGGTAATGGATCATCGCAGCCGATGTTTTGGCCATAGAGAAGCTCTATGACGCCCCAAAGCTGCTCATAGAGTCCACTTGTGTATATGTCAGAAATCTGGGACCTCTATGGGTGTCAATCCCAACCACTTACATTGTCGAGTTGAAGAACGCAACGCTCAAGGCCACTGTCTCATCATCCACAAGTCCTGTCGGGGTTTCAAACTCCCGTTTCATGGGCAGCTCGAGCTTGACATAGCCGTCTGGGATGGCTGCCGGTCTGCCAAAAGTCATGCTCAGAGTTCTATATTGTCAGCATATGTTTGGCGTGTGGGGATTTAGCCACTCACCGGTCTAAAACTACGCAACCGTACCAAGTCCGCTTCCGCATCTCCTGTTCGATAGGCGAAAATACTTTGGACGCATGCCGCGAATGTAATCCAAGCTGAAGAGCGGCTTTGACGGCTAATCCATGGACAGTCCATGCTTGTACTGACTTTTGCGTGCCTTGGAGGTATTGGCCCATCAGAAGTAAATATTGAACTAGGGACACACCGTCAGGACGATCTTTCAAAAGAAGGCAAAACTGAAAAGCTACTTACCCACTTCTAGAGTTGTCCCTCGCAAGATTTCACTCCCACACAAACCAAGGCCACGTTGATAGAAGACATCCGATTCTTCGATCCGAGCATCTGCGCTCGCACTTCCAGGAATCGCAGTGATAGTAGCCATAGCCAGCACCATGTTCAACAAACCAAGCCAAGTCCTCCGTACCCCATTGAAGTTCTCCTGTGTCATCTGACGATATGTGTCCACGAAGACGGGTGGGTATATGTAAGGAAATAGCAAGCCTGTGTTAGAGAAATAGCGTTCGATGAGCTCAAAAGTGTTTGCCTGCGGTGGCAAAGCAAAAATGTTCACTTGCATGCGCCGGTCTTGACCTCTCCGGCGTAGTGGTGATGATGGTCTCGATGCATTCACGAAGCCACCCTCAGCAGCGCCAGGTGAAGGGAAATACCCCGGTTGGACAATAGCGCTCGACAAATGTCGAAGGAACGCAATATTGGAAGAAGGGCCTGGTAAACCTTTAGCAATCTAGAGCTCCCTTATCAATCAGATACACTTACCAAAGAACCCGGAATCCTCCTCATCAGCAAAAATAACCGCACCCATACCATCGACTGAATCCTCCGTCCCAGTCAAATCAGGCATCGGCGCAGCGGTTCTCGTCTCATCCTTGTTCTCGCCAGCATTCCGACCAGAAATAGCAGGCTCCCTTTCTGTGTCCCTTTGGCCACAATCAACCCTTTTCGCCAACCCATCCAAATCACCCCGAACAGCCCTAAACGACTCCTCAAGCTTCTTTACCCTATCCTCAAGTCCGTGCAGATAGTCCTTCTGCACGATAACATTAGCGGCCGTTGGCGGCGGCGTGTAAACACACTCAAACCCCAAATCCTGACATAACGAGCAGCTGGGCCGCTTGCCGTCACATCGGGATTTGCGGGTTCGACATGCATCACAGGCGACGGCTACACGGCGCCGTTTGGAGGGCCGCCCATTACTTGTTTCGTTATCAGGTGAATTTGATGCCATTTGATACTAGTAGCTGTCGTATGATTAGGGGTCGCCGGGATGTGGTTATTTCTGGGGATGTGTCGGGCGGGGGTAGACCGGATGGCTGTCCGGTGTTCCCGCAATGTGAATAGCATTTCTTGTAGACGGCAACAGTTGATGTAGGTATGACCTCGACGTTTTCAGATATATTTTCCAATTTGATGGGGGGTATATTGTTCTCTTTGGTCATATCTTACGATATGTAAATCACGGTGTTTTCAGACTTCGGTTCAGCAAAGATATTTGAAAAGCGCGCGGGCATGGAGATAATGCTTTGTTTATGAATGTGTTGTGACATGAAGCAACCTTGTAAATATACACCGTTTAATCCAACAAATATCTACCCAATACATAATAAACTCATTAAATCGTAAAGCGGACTAGCCGCGCCCAGCAAACCTCGAACCATTGGAAACACCGGAGCCCAAAAATACCATAAACATAACAATCAACTACCTTCATGGGTGGATATCACTATCTGCGGGGGAAACTGAAGCCCCGGTGATGATGCTGTGGGGCTGATCTCGGAGATAGACGGTGCTCTACTTCGCGAGCTCGGCGTTGTATCGAACGGACTCAATTTTTGCCACTCCCCAGGCGCCGACCCAGGAGGGCACTGCAACGTTGGTGTCTCAAATGTCCCCCGACTTGGGAGCGAATTTGAGTGAGTTTGACGGGATCTTGGCCGCGACGCAGCTGGGGCAGGCAATGAGCGACGTGTTGGACTCCGGGGCCTCCTTGAGCTACCTTCGCCATTATCCACGGAGTCCCTGCTTCCTATGAAACTTCCAGGTCTTGATCTGTTATCGGGTGTAGATGACCTTTTGTATTTGTCTTGTAGATTTCGGAGATTTACGTTTTTGTATTCTTCTCCTGGGGTCTGGGGGTAAGTTGTTTTCGCTTCGGGTTTAAACCCCGTTTTTTCGATTTGCTTGTGGGCTTTGGCGGTCATAATGGCACTTGCTGCATTGAAGAAGCGGGCAACCTTTCGCCTTCCTAGATCGTGCTGGGCTTGAGTGCTAGTGGTTTGATTGGTAGTAGGGCGGCGTATGGTTGTCATTTCGATATCCGGATCATTTCTCTCGGCACTTGTTCTAGAGCCTCGTGCAGAACTGCTTCCTGTGTCTGAAACAGTACAGTCGCAGTTTGGGCATTTCCCCACAATAGTCTCTACTTGCTGCCCATCTTCCTTTCCCGCGGCTTCCATATCCGCAGAGAGAAGCAGATATAGTGACCCCAATACAGCGAGTGCAGTACCAACGATTGGCGCCCATTGACCTAACGATCCATCTGTTAGTAAACTTATGCCATTTTCGTTGTCAATCACCAAAGCCAGGGAAGGTACACCGTTTACTTACCTATGCTTTGTATAGGCTCTGTTTGGTACCTCATTTGCCTACTCCAAAAGTTCATCTCGCCTTTCACGAGAATGGCCAACACTGCTGCAGCAAACACCGGTATCTCAATGAGCGCTAACCATTTGCTTATCTTGTCGGTAATCCCAGTCATGTGGTTGATGGTAGCTCCGTTGGTTCCCATAATTGGTTCATCTGGCTCCTGCTTAGGCTTTCCATTTGAGAACTTCTCCCAGTTATCGTCCAAGATTTTAATCCACATGGATACCAATGACAGGATGGCAGGGATGCAGCATGCGGCCGCAACGAGCGTAGTAGCATTGAATGACAGCTCATGAGGCACTGGAATCACGTAGATATTGTCGGCTGCGCTTAGTCGCAATGGTGAGACTGGATTGTCCGGGGTACAAACAATGCTACAGTTGGAGCCATATGTAAACACACCACCTTTTTTGCCCCCAGTTGAGGCCCAGGTAATGCTTGCCGGGTCATCAGCTGGGCAAGTAGTGGGCTTGAGACGCATGAATTCCACAATCAAGCTCACTAGCCCAGCCAGGAGAAGGACTGTCCACAAAAAGATGATATCACGGCCGGGATTATTGAAGTAGGTCCGGGAAAGCCTGACGGTCGCTGGGGCGGTTAATATACCGATCGCGCACAGCTGGAATGCCCCATAGACATCCATATCGACAGCGCCTATAGAATATTAGATTCATTGATTGTTCAGATGGGTCAGACCAAGCAGGGAACATCAACCCCCTGCAAATGTTTCGCTAGACTCACCGTCGACATGAAGCGCAGCAAGAACAATTCCATGGAGAGCCGCAATAGCGGGGAAAAGTAACACAGCCGCTAGACAAGCGTTCCGAATCCATTCTACTTTGCGAGCAACTACACAGGCTGCAATCAAAACATAGTATCTGGAGCAAGTGTCAGTACATTATGATAACTCTGCCGATCTCTCCGCAAGAAGACCTACAGGACTCGGGTCCCAGGGCCATATTGACCAGAAACCGGCCATGCGCAAACAACCTCGAGAGACGGGGTACTTGCAGCGATTGTCACGTTAGGGGGCGATGCAGTAGCACGATGCACAAGAGCATTCTCTAGGAAGGAGGCGACAAAGGGAATTGCTGGCATTGCATGTTATCCGCCACCGGTGACGGTAACTTTAGGATAGAGCAGCAAAAAAGGCATATATTAATGCGTTGTTGTGTTGTTCTCTAATCCAGACAGTGACTTAATTAGACTCGACGTGGTATCATAAGAAACGGAGAAAGAAGTAAAGCAGGGAGCCTCCGGGCCGTCTTATCCACGAAGGGCTACTCCGCATATTGACCTTGATGAACAAAGGGAATAGGGAACGTAGCCCGGGTGCGAGATATTTCGTCAGCAAGAGCCTCATCTCGGATTTTAGAACCTCGGTCAAGCTGGGATTGGATAGCTCCGGGGGGAAACCTTTATCGTTACGGTCTAACCCTCGAAACAACAAGTGCCCCGTGATGTTGATTTGGGCGGGCGCAGCAACCCGGGCGTGAATACGAGATGGGGCAACACCAGCTCCTGCCGATTGGCAAGTTGAGCGCTGTCATACATATCGCTCAGTGGCTGTGTCGGGCGATTTTTGGTTGTTCCAAGCGGCAATGTGATGAAGAAGAAGTCGAAAATATTTAGCGATTCAACGCAAAGTGACGAGAACCCCAAAAGGCTCGGACTGATATTGACCGAACCATGGGTCAACATTCAAAGTCAACATTAAAGTGACAGTGAACTTCCCAAAGTGGCAGAGTGCGGGGTTCCCAATTTTGGACTTCCAATAGTCTCGACTCTTTTTATTGGGCATCTCTTGTCAAGAGACAAGTTAAGAATGTCACTTGTGTCCCGTGTATATCTTACGATTTTTTTCTGATCTTTCTGTTGAGGCTCAGACCCTCGGACTTTCAGGCGAAAATTTCTCTCATCCCGGCTCTCGCTGTCGCAACGTTGCAGTAGCGTCGAAGAACTGACTTACTTCGCCTGGATTCTACCGCAACCTTAATAACGCACCTGTTTGATCCACATATCCACTTCTAACACGGAGATTTCCCACAGCCTCACAGGGCTTGACAGGGCCTTCATTAGCAGCTGGGTTCCCACATCTCCCTCCCCCGACCTGTGTCACAATCATTTGACCTTGTCGATGTGATTATGAGGGGCAATCTGCTCGGTTTCCCCGCATTCTTGACAATTTCTTGATTTCAAGCATAAGTGACAGAGAAACAATACGCAAGCGAAATTTCTCTGGATTTTTGATCGACAGGAAGCAACTAAGATCGTTATCTCGGATTTTTGGCGCCAGAGAAATGTCTTTGCAATAAAGACAGAGTCGGGACATCATATGCAAATTCCTCTTGTTCCGCATTCCGGTATTTTGTCACCATGCCTAACTGTGGCTAAAACACGATAGAGAGGCTGACTTGGTGCCCGACGGCCAAAGCTATTACCCAGTGCATATTCGTGAAGTGTACCTCGGAAAGAGAGGCAGACATTCGAAATGGACGACGAACTCGACACATCGAAAATCAAAAGTTGGCGATCAATTATCACATTAATCATCTTTGTTATAACTAGTCAGTGTGGCTATGCCGACCATGTGAGATTGAGACTTACTTTTGCTTCTTTGCGGCGCAGATACCATTGTCCTTTTTCCATTCCATATCCCTCTATACCTACCTCGATGGTTCCCGAACGGGTTTCTGGACATATTGAGTGCCATGCGCATAATACCTCGCCGGACTCGCTCTCGATCCAATGACAAGCAACCCATTTTCGTGAAATTTCGCTTTCCATTGAACTTCATCACCGCACCTTTAATCGCGGACCTCTTCCTTCTCGCTATTTTGGCTATTGGCCGAAAAGAGGTACATGATGGAATAGTCGGGGCAGACAACATTAATCCCATTGATATCATGGTCTTCTTCCTCACACTCGCCTACATTGCCATCTCGATTGACGCCTCTGGCCTTATCAGATACCTGGCCTTCAAGGTTCTCCAAAAGGCAGGCAAGGTCGGCCACCGACTATTCTTTTACCTGTTTGTGTTCTTTTTCGGGCTAGGTAGTTTCATCGGAAACGACCCGATCATCCTGTCCGGTACAGCGTTCCTCGCATACATGACCCGTGTATCAAGCAATATCGTCCACCCCAGAGCCTGGATTCACAGCCAGTTTGCCGTAGCAAATATTGCCTCCGCGATTCTTGTCTCCTCCAACCCCACCAACCTGGTCCTTGCAGGCGCCTTCAAGATCAAGTTCATTGTCTACACAGCCAACATGATCGTTCCTGTAGTTGTGACGGCAATAGTCCTTTTCCCGTTCCTGCTATATATCATTTTCGCCGACGAATCCCTCATCCCTCTCTCCATCACAATGCATGAGCTGTCTGAGGACCAAAAGAAAAAGACACCCGTGAACCCCAACATTCCCCATGCCAGAGGAACTTCCGAAGAGAAAGAAGAAGTTGACGATCCGGAGGGAAAGCAGCTCTCACTAGAAGAGATCATGAATCCATTCTTAGACAAGAAGGGTGCATCTTTCGGGGGGATTATTATGACCGCCACGCTTATCACCCTCCTGGCAATTAATGCATCGGGCAAAGAGAATCCCGTTTTCTGGGTCACATTGCCTGCTGCTTTTGTTATGTTCTGCTGGGATCTCGCATTTGGTTGGCTCCATCGCCACGAAACCCGTGAGATTGCCGCGAAGGGTCGACAGGAGGTTGAAGATGCACAGACAGAGCGAGAAATGCGCAAGCAAGAGGAGCGGCAAGCACTGCCAGAAAGGATGAGTCCGGATACTTCGGGGTCGGACCAGTCTGAGCAATATGATGCTTCAGGCCTGCGCCACTGCAGTGAGCAGGCAGATGACAATATGTCACTTAAGAGCACCGATAGTGATATCGCCTCGAGAAACCCTTACCCAGAATGCGGAACTCCATTGTCAGCCTCTGTCCTCATTGACAAAGAGAAGTTTCCGGAACTACCACCACCAGGCGGTGTCGTAATCGACAGCAAACAACTAGCTCGCGCAACTACTCCCGAGGCACTGGACTCGAGACAAACAACCGACACGACGATCGATGAGGAGAAGCCAGGACATCCATATTTTCGGGACAACGGCCCACGCACGCTGGCGTCGCTCGCTGCTGATCTCTATCGCTGGTCACAGGAGACATTCCCCACTGTGACGGTCGTAGTATCCCACATGCCTTTCGCACTGGTACCCTTTGCTTTTACGATGTTTATCCTGGTGCAGGCGCTTGTCACCAAGGGCTGGGTGCCAGTTTTTGCGTACGGATGGAACCACTGGGTGGAAAAGACCGGGACAATAGGCAGTATCGGTGGAATGGGATTCCTATCTGTGATTCTGTGCAATGTGAGTATTGAGCAATGGGCTGACCACCTTTCTCTCTCAATTCGAATCCGCTAATTCGCCATCTTATGATACCCAGTTCGCTGGCACAAACATCGGAACAACGATTCTCCTGTCGCGCGTTATCCAAGCATGGCAGAAAATCCACGAAGCCAGCGGGGTTCCCATCAGCGATCGCACGTGGTGGGCCACTGTCTACACTATGGCACTCGGAGTCAATTATGGCGCATTCAGCACTGCGTTTAGTGCTTCGCTGGCTGGCATGCTGTGGCGGGATATCTTGGCGAGGAAGCACATCCGTGTCGGCAGCCTGGAATTTGCCCGTGTGAACCTTCCCATCATTGCTATATCTATGGTCGTTGGATGTGCAGTTCTTGTTGGAGAAGTGTATATTGTCAGAAGTGATGAGCCCTACGTGCCGTCTTGATGTGTGGTTTGCGGGAGACTGTTGTCTAGATGTTTTATAGATTATGATGCTCTCGATGCTTATTTGCGGGTTGGCTTTTTTGTCACTCGACAGGCAGACGATCTTACGAAGTAAATGAAGACCGTTTTACAGTCTTACAGGACTGTATCTATGGGAAAGTATCTTCGGAACTGTTGTTCTCATTGTGGAATTTCTTATTCGGGGCAAGTTGTGTCGTTACATTCTATCACTTGATCGACCTTCCCACAACACTTTAACCACGCATATCCGATCACGTCATACTGGAGGCTTCACTCGTCCACAAGGGACTCAACATCCATATCCTCCGAACGATAGAAGCCCAATGCATCAATCATGGGCTTATCATCAAACCGATACAGATAAACCGGTTCGTCGGCATCCGCGAAGTGCTGGTATCTGTACCATGCCGGAACACAGAAGGTATCACCCTCTTCCCAGGTATATTCCTTACCACCAATCGTCGAGCGTCCTTTTCCGGTGATGACATGATAGACAGCGGACGTAGTCTCGCGTCGGGAAGGCGAAGCCTTGGATGCCGAAATTCGCTCAGCACATCCACCGAGGACGCGACTCACTATGGAAAGAAACCATTAGCCATCTTGTCATCCACGGAGCCAAACAATAAAAGAGGGAACACATACCTTCACGCCCGTCCTCCTTCAAGTACCTCTTAGTTACCCAATCCCCAGCAACTCCATCCAACTGTGCCTCCATGGTAACCCACGGGAAAACTAACGGTGAAGTGGTACTATCAACATTCTCCGCAGGATAACGGGGCTTATCGAAGTGCTCTACAAAGTGCACAGGGAAGTGTCTGAAGTTGGGCAAATCCAGCCCATCCAACCATACCATAGGTCCAGAGCCGTCTTTGCCGTGGTCATGGTAGTTCCAGGTTGGCGTGAGAATGACGTCTCCGCGCTGCATCGTAATGCGCCGACCGTGGACAGCAGTCAAACCACCCTGGCCTTCAATGATGAAGCGCATGGCAAAGGCCGTGTGTCGGTGAGCGCGTGCAGTCTCGTTCGGCATCACGAGCTGCAGACCAGCGTAGAGTGTGTCCGTAGTGAAGGGGGCATCTTTAATAAGTTGTCAGAAACAGTTACACGCAGTATATATTAAGTAGAAAGGTATAACCTAATGCGGAATCAAATGATAGCTTTGTACGTACCCCTAGCTGGGTTGGTGAGCATCAGCACCCGGCGCTCGGCCTGGGATGCTGGGACGAGCTTTCCAGCGCGCTCCAAGTTAGGTCTGATGGTGCCGTACTTCCAGACGTTTGGGACTGTTGTTGGGTTTGGCCCTGGGGGGTTCAGATGAGCCATCTGCTTCCACAAAGGAAGGGTCTTGCTCGCTTCGAGATCAACTAGAAGCTGCTCCTCTGTGTCAAGGAAACTTTCCACTTGAGTTGAAGTCATTGTTGGAGTTGTTGTGGCAATGAGAAAGATCTTTAGATTGTATTGCCTCCATTCCATGGAGAAATGATCGATAAGATATATCTTGAAGGCTTTCGTACGATCGTCGGCTCTTGTTAAGGTCTGGGGCAAGATCGGGTAGTCTTCCCCGGTGCGTTCCCCGGTGCGTTCCCAGTCGAAAGAGGGGTCATAAAGGCGGTGATCCGACGATATGCGCTGCTGACGAGCTCCAATTATTTCAATTTAGACAGAGCAAGTGACAAAAAGCAATATGGTGTCCAATGGTCAGGCCGATGGCCAGGTTCCTGAGGCACCGTTGAAGGCGGGTTTCTGACCCCGAAACAGTAATGTCAGAGGCTCGTATATTAATGAGTCAATAGGCGCCAACGTATCCCAGCAACTGCCTCGAATTTTTGAATGATCCATTGGCAGTCGAAAAAACAATGCCTGCAAAGGTCCGCCTAAACATTATCGTCGTCGGTGCCGGACTTGGCGGACTAGCAACAGCCATCGCGCTCGCATGTTCCGGCCACACCGTGACTGTCTACGAGCAAGCGCAGAAGCTCGGAGAAGTACTAACTCTCCTCCATTGGTGTTAACCAAAGCTAATCATGTACGTCAGGTCGGTGCTGGTATCCAAATCCCATCCAATTCAACTCGCCTCCTGAGCAGACTCGGTCTGGACCCATACCTGAAAGAATATGTGACCGAGCCCGAGTTTATTTCTTTCCGACGCTGGCAATCAGGAGGTGTCATAGGGCTCACGCGGCTTGTCCCAAACTTCCGAGAACAGTTCGGTTCGCCATACTATGTGATCCACCGCGCTAACTTCCATTCTGCGCTGCATAAACGTGCCCTGGATCTGGGTGTCACGGTCAAGGTTGCTTCGCGGGTTGTTAGATATAATGTCGAGGGTCCAAGGATTGTTCTTGCAAATGGTGAAACTGCTTCGGCTGATTTGATCGTTGCCGCTGACGGTAGGCATCACCATGCTCTTGAGACACATGACTATGACCGGCTCTAATATTTTGTAGGCGTCAAGTCGGTTGCTCGTGGAACAGTGGATAAGAGTGGCAAGCCCTCATTTGAGAAGACCGGGTTTGCAGCCTACCGAGCTACTGTGGACGTGGAGCGCATCAAGGAAGACCCCGAGCTTTCGTGGTTGTTGGAAAAGCCAGCTCTCAATATCTGGTTAGCACAAGTATGGAAAGATCTTCGAAATCGAACTGACCCTTTTGGTAGGATTGGTGATCAGCGACACGTAATGACATACACCATTGGAGCCGGCAAGTTTTTCAACATGGTTCTTTCGCATCCAGATGACAGTGATCCTTCAACCTGGGATCAGGAAAATACCCTTAGTGATATGAGACGCGAGTTCCAAGGATGGGACAGACGGTATGAGTCTACGGGTTTTCTTGGCGTCGTCCTCTATTAATGTATTTCCAGGCTTGAGAAGATTATTGGACTCATCGAAGAAAGCATCAAATGGCCACTAATTAGTGGAGTGCCTTTATCTCGCTGGGTAAATGGCAAGGTTTTGATCCTAGGAGATGCAGCACATGCAATGCTGCCTTACATGTCACAGGGTAAGTGCAAAAGCATCATTCACATTGATAATAGTCACTAAAACTGCACAGGCGCGGCAGTGGCCGTCGAAGACGGTGCAGCACTAGCACGCTCTCTGTCCAAAATCGAGAACGCCGCAGGCATCCCCAAAGCATTCCGTATATTCGAGCAGGTCCGCATTAAGCGAGCTGGAATGATGCAGGAGGCGAGTCTTCTGAATGGAAAGCTGTGGCATTTCGCCGATGGGCCGCTTCAGGAAGCCCGTGATGCAGCTATGAAGCCCGAGACTATCGGCTTGCCTTTCAGTCACAGCCCTAACCAGTGGAGTGATCCGTCGACTCAGCTGTGGTGCTATGGATATGATGCCGAGCAAGAGATTGATCGAGCTTGGACGAAGTCAGAACCGTAGAAAAAGCTGTTGCCATGAAGAATATACTACTTCCTTTTTGGGTGACTATCTATTATAATTTTGATGTTCGTATACCTTGCTCCTATCTCTCCTCACTCTCTCTGTAAAGCAGCACATTAGTAAAGCAGTAAATCAGTGTCAGGTCTATAATGATTTCCCCCTTTGCTTCTGTTCATCGATATCAGTCTAGTCACTATAGACATCCGATTCCCAATGCCACATAGTTTGCACAGCAAACCGAAAGATCATAATAATAACCATAGGTAAGATTTCTTGGTATCAGTTACCCCAGCTTCCCGGAATTTTCTCATCTCTCATCTGGTTAGCTACAAGAACCCCATCCCGGGAATACACTGGACAAACCCGGTATACCCGATCTATCCCCGCCATAACGACAGTAAAGAGCCATATAACCCTCCAACCCCCGGAATGAATGCTCCTCTATTAACCAATTTCGATCAAAGCAAACCAAGATCAAGAACCAAAAATCCCGAAGACATGTCTCTTCCGTGGAAACGCCTAATCCGCTTCATCGCCACAGACGGCCGCACACTGCGCGGCGAGCCAATCCTCCCCGCCTCAACAACAGACCTGGGCTTTATAACCGAATCCGACAAACTGCAAGCACGAATGATCGAAGGCGACGACCTATACGACACCACGGGCAAAACGCGCGTCACCGATGAAATTGTCTCCGTGAAGACCATCCTAGGACCGTTGGCGCAGGCAGATGTTCCTATTCTACGATGTGTCGGATTGAACTATGCGAAGCATGGTAAGTTTCCCTGTCCTTAGCAAACAAACCCTTCTCAGGGAGAGTCAGTTATAAATATATCAACCGTGTCAATAGTCAAAGAAGCCGGCCGCACCCCACCCCCATTTCCATTCATTTTCTTCAAGCCAAACACCACAATCCACGATCACGGCGTGCCAGTAGTAATCCCGCAGATCGCGCAGGATTCGCAGGCAGATTATGAAGGCGAGCTGGTAAGACAACTCCCCTGTTTGCGAATACCCCGTCCTGGTAATATCAGTATACTAACAAACGTCCATAGTGCCTTGTAATCGGCCGCGACGCCAAGAACGTCTCCACGGAGAACGCGCTTTCGTACGTAGCGGCCTATACAGTCGGTAACGACATTTCTGCGCGCAAGCTGCAGCGCGACCCGTCGCTCGCGGGACGTGTCCCGCAATGGGGATTCTCGAAGGGCTTTGATACCTTTGCACCGCTGGGTCCGTGTCTTATCGCTGCGAGCGAGATCTCTGATCCTAGTAAGCTGCTGCTGAAGACGATTGTTGATGGGGAGATTAGGCAGGAGGAGTATGTTGCGGATCTTTTGTTTGATTGCGCGTATCTAGTGTCGTACCTGTCGCAGGGGACGACGCTGCAGAAGGGGAGCGTTATTATGACGGGGACGCCCGGTGGTGAGTTTCATCTCTTTTTTGTTATGTTTTTTGCGTTGGAATTGGTCGAGCTGACTTGTTTGCTAGGTGTCGGCGCCAGTCTTTTACCACCTAAGTACCTTGTCCCCGGGACGCAGATGGATGTTGTTATTGATGGCATTGGAACGCTGAGGAATGGCGTGGTGTTCGATTAAGCTGGATATATGGTTGTTGGTCGTTGATTGGGGTTTAGGGCTCGAGTATAGACAGGCAAGGCATAAGAGGTCGCCAGAGCAAAAATAAGACAATACCGCACGACAACTCTATAGAGCATAGCCTGCCTTGGCTGGAAAGAGAGACCCGCAATTATCCCACTAGAAGTGAGGCGCAGTTGTCTCAGCATGGACGAATATTGTCACTAGCCTTGCGTTGCTGCAGTTCATTTTCCTCTTTCGGCCGACTTGGTTAAGTCTCAAGGGTGGGAAGGGGCAAAAGTCCGTGCAGAGCACTCGTATAAACAAACAGTTCTCGAAAATAATACTCGGATATTCCTACGAATACGAGAGAGACTATTGGAGCAAACACGAGTCGAACGAAACGAAGTTCATTCAATGATCCGTCTCCTGCAATATGCCTTAATTTTTTGGTTTGTTTTTCGTTTCACGAGCATGATCATCGTAATCATCATTGCCCTGTCGCATTTGCATGTTCGAGGTCTCGTCAAGAGAAATCGTCCATGACTTGCCAGCATGCGCGCAGGGGTAGTAAGCATGTGTGTTATGGCCGAATGGGGTCCATCATAGGGTGGTATTGAACAAGAAGACTCCGAAGAGAAAATTTTATGAACATGAGAAATGGGTAAAATGTGAATGCAGTCCGCTAGGGACACGCGAAATGGTAAAAAGATC